ACGTCTTTCCCCTCTTTACCAATTTTTATAGCAATTATTTCTGTTCTGTCCCTTTATAACATGTAATGCAAATTATTATTATAATTTGGTGCCGTACGCGAGCGCCGGTTCGAGTCACGCACGCAGTACGTGTTTACTATAATTTGACGTAGTATTTACCTTGTCGTTTATTCGCTGTTATTTGCTTAATTTACTTCCTATGTCAACAGCAACTATGAGTTTAAAATTATTACTCAGTACTTATTCAATGTTTAATAATGAAGGGCAAACAACATCGGTCAAGTACTGTTTCGACTGATGAAGGGTTCAACAAAGAACCCGAACAGCACCATTACACATGTGAATGGTCCAATTACGGATAAATTTGAGTGCTATATCGACATAGGCTTTCTTCGTATTCAGTTTCATATTCCAATATTGTTTCCGTGTTTACTCACACCTGAAATATTTTAACACAGAATACATGTAATACGTCTGTTACGTATTTAGTTAGCTAATGCAATACTGCCCTCAGTCGGTGAGATGTTCCACCACACCCATCGATAATACATGCATTGTTAAAGTTTCTACAGAAATACAGCAGAAGGTCATTGTGAAAAAACTGTTAAACAACATAGTTGATGAAATTGTTGAGGAAAAGGATCAATAAAAATCATTCTTTAAAAATTTCATTTTTTGTCCTGTCTTGTCTTGATTTTTTCAGGGGGTCTGAAAGTTTCAGATTTTTTTTACATACATATAGTGTAGGATTTTTTTTCAAGCATTGTCATAAAAAATTTTTTTCCACGAAATCTTCCTGCCCTCAGGATATCGAATGGTTCGTCCCTTAGCAAAGCAACAGGGAAGTTCCCTTACATTTTTACAACTTATGCCTGGAATGATTTCCTTACCAGCTGAAAACAGAAAGGGATAAAGGTAAAAAGACTGAAACAAGAGACAGGGAATTAGGTTGACTGAAACACAGATTGACAAGGAGAAGGGAATTAGGTTGACTGAAACACAGATTGACAAGGAGAAGGGAATTAGGTAGATCAACCAGTAGAACAAAAATGATGATGATGATGAAAATGTGCACAGCTGTGTTCACACAACTCCATCACTGCACATCTGTCGAGGATTATTTCATCAGACAGACATGCATTAAATATAGTCCACGAGATCAATTCTGTCACAATTCATAAACAAAAGTAAAAAACTATTTACACACTTTATTGTTGGCAAAGCGGAAGAGCAGTGTCTCAAATGTAATTATCATCATAGTTTCAGTACAAAAAACTATTTACACACTTTATTGTTGGCAAAGCGGAAGAGCAGTGCCTCAAATGTAATTATCATCATAGTTTCAGTACAAAAAATTACCTGTACATGTATGTAGTCCATATTGCATCCTTGAGATTCAATTGAATTGGTCAATGCTGATAAAATGTGTATAGAAAATATTAAGACAATTTGACCTAAAGAATGGTGGTCAATGCACATCACAATGGAGTTTATATTCTATTGCATATGGGACTCATACTGAATACAATGCAGCAAGACCAAACCACCCTAACCTTTTTCACCATCAGTTTCCTCTTTTTATCACAAATTCCTTCAGAAAATGGGACAAAAGTAGCAAATTTTTTTTTTTTGAGTAAAAACTGAATATTGACTCAAGTTTTGTACATCTGCTATAAAATTAGGATTCATCTCGAGAAATATTGAATACAAGAAAAATACAGGAAAATTGGAACAAGAAAGTCTGGTGGTGAAAAGGTTAACCTTTGAATTGAAATGAAGTGTTGTCCTACTCCAATGAGGTATGGTTATGATAAAATCAGGAAAAAACAAGGCAAAACACATTTTTATTAAAAAATTGTAGTTTATTTACCATGGAAATACAAGTTTTCAATTCTGGTAAAAACTACAATTACATTCCTGCATCATATTTCAGTACTGTATTCGGATATGTAATATGGTTAACATTATTTAAGAAAGTTACTGTACCTTCTCATCTAACAAATCCTAGTAAACATTTGCCACAATTCACCTAAATTTATCTCACTCAAAATAAAATCAATTTGCTCCACACTAGCCATATGTACCCATATTAGCCCACCAACAGTGAAAAACTGATTGAGAACAGACAGGTCACCCTGATGTCCTAATGTTATACACCCACACAGGAGTTAGAGAATATCAATCCATGATTTGACCTCACCATTTTAATGGTTATAGAGGACACTCCATTTGATGTCATTATTCAAAAACTATCCCCCATAGTGAAGAACACTGACAATAATGCTTGAAAGCAATTATACGACAATAACATATTACTACCCGGTACTGTAATTAAGACATGAATGATAATTCTCCTACCTGAACAATACTACTATGGCCAGTACAAGGCCTAATTTACTTGGTTGCATTTTCTCAGTGATATCTGTATCTAACCGTGCAAAATTAAGACCTAATAGGGCGTCTCTTGCAGTATAATATAGGTGTATGGTGTTATTATTCATGAATAAAACATAAAATCCCTGAATATGATTAAAAAGCAAGCTGTTTTTTCAAAAAATTATTAAAGTGATTTGATAAGATTAAAAAAAAAAAAAATATTTATGGACTCCAAACAATATCTTGGCAGAAACCAGAAAAAAAAAATTGTGTACTGGGCAGAAATAAATCATTTTTATTGGGTCTAAAAGTTGATACAACTGAGATTAATAGGTTTCAAATTGTATATACTTAATGTTACTACAAATAAATTCATGAAAATTTGTGGTATAAACTACCGATATAATTTGCTTTGAAAACACACATCAACGAGACTTAACTGGTTTTTCTTGAATATCAGTCAATGTTCTGACATCATTTAACAATAATACACTGATAAAAATGTATTGCTTGATGCATGACCCCCTCCCCCACCTCAAAGGTCAAACATCCTGGTAATTTTCGGGGCATCATTATCAGTTGAAATTATTTTTATGTAAAAAAAAATTATCAGTTACTGAATTCAACCACACGACAAAGTGGTAGATATGACATCACAACAGAACACTATGTGAAACACAGTAGTGGGAAGTATTGCTGATATAGAGTGGCAATAATACCCTTAAAAATGCCAGGATACATGTGCAAACAAAAAATCTATAATGCATTACATTTCAACAAGATTTCAAAATCAAGTAAAATATTAAAGAAGTACCACCAACAGAAATATATAAAAAAAAACAATTAACTAAATCTTAAATTCTTACCAAGCTATGCATGTTCATGAATGTGGTAAATATTCAGTCATATGGCGAAGTAATCATATGACCTCATTATAAAATACCCTCATATACATAATTCCTGTACAGAATCATGGCTACTATGGTAACAGAAGTGAGAGAATAATTTGATTTCAATCACAAAATGTTGATGAGTTAATAACACAAATGTAAAGTTGTGTTAAGATTCTAATAAATCAGCTCAATTCTTGAATACAATTAAATATCACTCTGCAACACGAATATATTAAGTATTTTCAGCCAATGTATAGTGTTGATGAATGACAAAGCATGCATGCTTGTAAATACTGGTAACATATGGAGTGATTTCATTTGCCAAGCTTTAGAACAATACAGCACATCAACAAAGCTTTAAAGCAAATACAATAATAACGCGCCATATTTCAACATGACCACAAAACCATTTTAGAATGACTTCATTTACACGACTGCGTTCCGTGCAGGGAATGCATTTCATGATCATCAGCCATAACATGGTGGGATATACTTATCCCAGTGATTACCCTAGTTTTGTTATCAGTCTGTTTCATGCACATGGTCTTAAAAAATGTGGCATGTCCTGCCAATTACTAGATAGCCATACTACACGAATTATACACAAGTGTTGGACGTCATTGATTGATCTTTGCATGTTTTTTTTTATATCATGATTTGTATCTGGTATCTGAGTTCTAGGCTCAATAATCTTGCTAGCAGCAATTTAAATCATGTAAATATCGAACACAAATTGGCATGACAACTTCTGTCAAAGGATGCTATATCGTTTATTGCATGGAAGATATATTATGATTACTGTTTTAACCACATTTAACCACATTTAATTAAATTCATTATTTTGTGCTCGACGTTTTATATTCAATTCGAGAGAGCCCCACTCGTAGATTTAATTCATTGGAATTATTATTCTATTTATCCACAGATTATTAAATAAAAAAATGCAAGAGCCTAAGAGGAATGTGCAAAGTTAAAAACAATTGTTGTAAAAATAAAGATTTGCTCTGTGTTATAAAAAGAGTGAATTCAGCATTTAGACCAAATGATTTAAGACTGTGTAATCCTTTTGTTTAACCTTTATGGCCTCTCCGCCCCACTTCAGTTTGTATGTTCCAGTTTTCCACTTGAAGTCTGGGCTCCAAAGTGATTGCAGATATGTAAATATGGTTAATATTTCCCTCGTCATCCATGCCATGGCAAATTCAAATTTACCAAATGGAAGCTTATCATTCTGAAATAAAAACAAAATATTTATAAGTTTTTGGAATATATAGCTTTATACGCTATGGTGATAGTGTGTGCACACCCTAAAATTGTCAATTCTGAGACCATTGTTAATAAATAAATGGTTCAAATCGTACAGCATTTGGGGTAGGTACAATCACTGTGCGTTGTATCTACAAATATGTAGATTCCATACAAGTTTCTCAATATGCAAGATGAAACAATTTTGTTCAAAGTAATGTACACTACCATAGAATCAATTATAAATAATAAAGCATGTAGGTAGAATAATGAACAAGCTGATTCCTCCACAATAAGAACTACTGTAAAGTACTTATTTTTCACTTGAGATTTATTTTCGTTACATCTGAAGGGATGAATAAAATCCAGTAAAAATACTTTTTTTCCCCCTTATGTTTTACATTAAAGTCATCAAAAATCAGTGAAAATAATCTCCATACAAACACCCCAGAATGTCCTTTGATCAAAAATTAATTGCAGCTAAAATAAAGTATTGTACAGTATGCAAACCATGATCAGTAAATATAGGTTCAGGGTTTAATGACACAATCAGTGATATACAACTTACATAAACTCCTAGAATTTGAATGTAATCTAATAAAAACCACACCAATAGATGACATAAAAAGAAAACCACAGGATGGACATGATAGAGATAATATGAACCCCATGCAGTAAATATGCCTAGCGCTATGCATTCAATCAATGGATCAAATACATACAAGGTTGGAAGCATCGCCTGCCGCAGTTTAGACCATCTGAAAAAAAAAAAATTCTCAGTATCATCATCATCATCATCATCATCATCATCATCTAGGTGTGGAAAGTGTTTTATTTTATTTAGCTAGTTATGCAAACAACATTTCAAACAGAAAAAAATAATATGAAAGAAGGCTGAGAAAGAACTCTTGTACACCAAGGCTATTGGAGGCATGAAGTACAAATTGTATTAATTGCATACAAAATCATTGAAGTATGTCTTATTTTGCATATTAATGAGGTCACATGACCATATATGGACATGTGGTATGTTACTCTGATCTCTTGTCAAATGCCTCCATTAAAGCATAGTTGTACCTTCTCATCTTAATATCTGCAACAGTGCTTTAGATTATTCTTTATAGACTGGATACGGCTTTTGCGGCCCGAGCTCATGCGGCGAAAGCGCCTGAGCTTGCGAGGGTGCATAAGCTGTACGATCAAGGGCAGCGAAAGACGTATCCAGTCCATAAAGGTTTTAGGCGCGTTTACCAAATATGGCAATCTGGGCCCGGTGTGAAATGGAAAATTATTGCATGGCTCGCGCATCGGGATTCCCATAGCATTACGAGGCCGGGCAATACGAGGTATATGATAAATTACATTTATGCATATTGGTGAGATCACAATAACTGATTTATACAAAGTAGGTAATTAATATACTTGGATTTCAACCCTGACGTAATCAGATCTGCAGATTATCCATAATCATCTATGTACATTTTGTACAAGTTTCATGCAAATTTGCTGAGTGGTACTCGAGATATTTATGAAACACCTACATGTATATATGGCTTATCCCAGAGCACCTATGTACCTAGTTTCATTGAAATTTGACCAATTGGCCTTAAGACCAATAAATAAATAATTGAAAGATTGAAAATATTTCTTTGATTGACATTAATGGATTAACACAATAATTGTAATTGTCAAGGCAAAGAAACATAGATAGATAAATATGCAATGCATACCTGGCCATACGAGCCTGATGACTGGAAATGGAATAGAATCCATGGTTCTGTAAACTCCAGTAAGACCCAATCGCAACTTTGAATCCTCTGAAAAAAAAAGAAGAAGATGAAAACACTTTTACGATCAACACTTGCAGTGAATCATTTACATTTAGCTGTGAGAGATGAGAATAATCCTGGTGATCCTGATAATCCTGACTGGTGTTAGGGTTGAGTGGCCAAGCAGACGCAATCTTTCAGTCATTTTGTCTCGAACATGCACAATATAGTGCGTCGTTTGAATTTTTTCTTTACAAAGACAACACCTAGCATATTTATTCAATAGATCAAAGATCTTCAATGTTCCAACACTGGATATGAAAATACACATAGACCCTATTAATTTATGTAATATATAATCTCATCGACTTTGTAGAAATGTCAAGTTATGAATACCATATTAGTGAGCCTAGCAATTCAATTTTTGTTTGGATTTGTCATACAATTGAGAAAATAGATCATTACACAAGGATTTGGATACTGAAGGATTGAGGAATGTGTGAAAAGATGAAGATAAAGGGAACCCCCATTTGATCTGCAGATACGTGTAAATGTTGATTGTATGACAGCAATGCTTCAATGACTATACTTCTAAGCATCTAGTACATGTATCCACACATGTGTTATCAAGTGAACGCATGCAGATGAGAATAAAAAATTCAAACAATCTAGTACACAGGCATCTTGTATATTGTAGCATAGTGGCGCTTCAAAGATGCAATTTGGACAAGAACATATCATATTCAGTATTGTTGTTTGTATATTGGACTATGTTTTATCCTGAAATCAGACACCTATACAATAACAACTGCACATATGCATTTCTGTTTTGTGTGTGCTGCAAAAACGACGTTTATAATTTATAATAAATTAATCCAATTTTGACCAAATTGCCTCTCTTATGTGCTATCAACCAATCATGCCCGCTAGAACCAATGCATCTGTGGATGGTTCCTCCAAGGAAAGGAAGTAATCTGGGGGTATTGGACATGTACCATTGAGTCAGTGAAAGTGAGTAAGGGTTGTTTGTGTTCAATAGTAGAGCTTGAATTTGGGTCAACAATCATTATGCTACTATTTATGCTACCAGTTGAATATATTTACACAATGCAGGTATATACTAAAAATGTTAATTTGATGAACTACCAAATGAATATTCAGCTTTAAATTACAAAACTATAGGCATGAATATCTGCAAGAAATACAATAAAAATATGACTTCTTATATGGTAATGCAAATGAAAAGTAATGCTGGCTGAAATGTATAAAAAAAAAATTCCAATAATACTGCATGTCAATGATTTAACTAGTTTTTGACTACACAATAAAGTTAGCTACATTTTCCAAGTCTAGAGCATTTCACATTTAGTGATGATAACAAGTCTGACCAACTAAAATTCTGACAAGAGTCAAACTTAATCGTGGTTTCTCAAAATAAATTACCGGGGGTAAGCACATGTACACATGTAACACTAATGCACAAAATGGAACCCCTGTGTGTTAAACAGAAATTGCTGTAAGAACCAAATAAACGTAATAAATGCCTAAAATATCTACTGTAAAAAATATACAGTCAATCAATAATGAAGCTTATATTATACAGTGTTCACACTTGTGCCACAGAGCTGGCTTGACTAATTCTGTAACAATCATTGTTTTAACTGTGTTCATAAGTATATAAAGACTTAACTGAACAGGCCTTGTTAAAATCCGTTATGTTTCTTTAAAATACTTGATGAATGTAATTCCAGAGTGAGGCCGACATCCAGGGCATGCTTTTAAAGTGCCGCTATTATTGACATATGTTATAAAAGCCGTTTCTGTAGAATCGGGTGCCGGTCAAGACTTGCCATTTTAGGGAGGTTTAAACTAAATACAAAAGAGTCGGCTTATCTTGTTCACATGTGTTTCAATGCTGGCCTCACTTTAAAGCGGGAAGGTAGTCACCTGCAAACACGCGGAAATAGAGTCGCAAGTGATGAGAACAACATGCGCTAAAAACGCAAAGGCTCATGGGTAGATGCTTGTTTGTAAACAATGACACGCTCTGGCCATCTGACGCATGCACAGGTGACGACTTCCTTGCTTTAAAGCTGACCTCCAAACTGGCTTTTTGACACATGTGTGAACACAGTATTAGGCTGATGTTGTTATAAATGATACAATGTTTAGATAATGCTAAAATTTGACAATACTGTAATGCTACATTGATGCCATGCAGATGGGAGGATGATGAGATGGTGGCATGAGAATACTCCATTGTATTCCTTACCCCGTCTTTTATCAGGCAGTAAATAACAGCAAACTTCACTCATCAACAACATTCCCTTTAAAGAAGATGTCCACTTTACTAGTCTAGTTTCACACTTGACTAGAACGGTGGTCATTCATGGTCTGTCAGGATAAGGCATGCAGGGTTTAATCATAAACAGAGAACAATTTAAATACATTATAATTAAATGTGTTAACTACAAATGGTGTTACTTAAAATTGCACTATATTCTGTTCGGAACACCAAAATAAGCTTTTTCAACAAAACTTAATTTTAGCTAAAAATTTACAGTATTCCTATAATGTAGATTATATGACATCAATCTCGATAAAATAAACATTCCATTGTTTTTTTATAATAAAATAAAGCATGTCCAAGAAATGGACATGACTGTTAGTCGGCCATTTTGAATTAAATTATTAGTGAAGCTCATACCATTTTTAAATAAAATCTGCACAGACATACCTGAGAAATTGTTGATGAAGTATTCAAATTTTATGACTTGTACAAATAATTGTTAGCTATCACACATAGTTGTTGGTTTGTATATACATGGAGGTATAAGTTTATACCTCCAATATATACAGTAGAAGTTAGCTACATGTAATTTGTTGTTGTTAGTTCATGTGTAGTTGTTAGTGTAAAGCTACAATGCTGACCCTGTAAATTTTCAATGTGGGTAAATCAAAATCTTGACACATTTATATTCCCAAGTCTATTATTTGGCTCAATAAGGTCACAATAAAAAAAAACTTCCATTATGTGTAACACTGTAGTCCTATTTTTAGTTTCATAAAAAAAAAACTCAGACCTTTGTGACTGTATATTAAAAAAGAATTTGAGGGAGGAATATTATTATAAAAAAAAAATAAATATGTGACTTGACTTGAATTCATGAAATGGGGTACAGTTATAACAAATATTACACTGTGAACAACCACATTTCCAACAAGGTTGTTGACAGTGCCACACAGGTTCAAACATGCCTTGTTATCTCTATTGCTTCAATTCACATATCATGGCCCATCGTGTTAATACTGTGACCTCACCTACACTCATCACCAACACTATTAAATTTAGCAATAAACCAATAATAAACAATATAATCTAATATTTTCCTCACCTGCTTAACATATATTTTGCTATAAAGTAATCTTCTGCTATGTATTTGCCAAATTGTGCAATTCCACCACCGTCTTCCAGCACTGACTTTCTCAACAAGCAACACATTCCAGTTGGAACCAAAAAACCAAGTAAGTTACCACCAATGTAGACCCTTGCTTGGGCACAACCAAAATACACCTACAATCCAACAAACAAATTTAATTAAAAATATTTTACAGTTAGCAAACACATGTGAATCTTCATTTTACTTGCTGGGGTAATTGAAAACAAAACTGTCATTTAATTGTAAGGCCGTTGCTGATTGATTCCTGAGTTGGATGACAATTTCAGTTTGATTTTGGGTTTTATGTAATTAGGTGTTCTTGTGCAAAGAATATTCCCACACAAAAATGATGAATTCAGCAAAATTCTGTTACTGGTTGGCTTAAAGCGAGAGGGTCGTCACCTGTGCACGTGTGGGAATTGAATCCCAAGCGACGATAACAACACATGCTAAAATACAAAGGCTCATGGGTAGACACTTGTTTGTAAACGCTATGGCCATCTGATGCATGCACAGGTGACAACTCCCCGACTTTAATGTTGCTAAAATGATTGTTTGGCATTTTATTTCCTGATTTCTCGGAATCAGAAAAAACAGT